TCGTCCATGTTGATGATTAATTTGTGAAATAAGAGAAACTCTCAATATATATCCATTGACAAGGTAGAAAGAAAGCATTACAGTTTTTCTTTTAATTTTTAAATTTTTAAATTTTTTAAGTAGAGACAGGGTTTCACTATGACCAGGCTGATCTTGAACTCCTGGGTGCAAACAGTCTGCCCACCTTGGACTCCCAAAGCTCTGGGATTACAGGCATAAGCCACCATACCCAGCCTGTATTAAAATTTTTAGTGAGCATTAGTGAATTGTCTTTGTTCCACATTGTATTTATAGAGTGAGATGAGCTACCAAAGAAGCACCTATGTCTTATCTTTACAGGATTCAGAAGAAATTATTGGGTTCCATTTTCTTTACAATGAGAACCCTACATCATTTTCTGCCATCTCATTTTATCAGTCACAAAATATACATTAGCAAAATGATAGCTTTTAAATAAATAAGCTCAAATTTCCAAGTCATAAATAATTGCTAAACACAACTATATTTCCTCTGGAGTAATTTTTCAGTTTAGCCAATTGTTCCCTACTATAAAAATAAATAAATAATTTACAAAACTACATACAGGAGAAGAAATAGCTTCAGGACCTGTATAACTCTGAGTCAGGGTTGCATGAAATTGTCAAACCACAGCTCTCCCAAGATCTTCTAGTGTTAGTTGATTAGTTAAACCAGCAGGATTATTCAGTAATGGATTTTGCTCTGGGCAATGCTAACGCAGCTATGCTCCTGACGAAAACTAACCTCAAAATTTGGGTCGCGTTGCCTTTGACTAAAGCTCCATGTAATGATTAGCACTGCTCCTTTCTACACAGAAAATGGAAGAGAAAATTGAAGTAATTATGTTGGCAATTTAAATAAAAAAGGAAATATCCAGATACTTGAGGCAAAGAGGAGTTGGAGATTTGAACTAAGCAGATAACAATCTGAGTTCTCAATTTCACTTTGCCAAGAATACAAAGCATTTTATAAATGAAGATTACTGAGCAGAGATTTCTAAAGGTTACGTCTAGTCCACATGAGCAGAAGCCCCCAAACTAATCCTCTTCTGGATATCTCAGCAAAATGTGACATTAATTAAGGCTATTTCAGTTTTCTTGTGTTATTCAAATTTTCAGAGACTGCATTTGCCAATAAGCTGTCAGGCAAGATATCCTCACAAACATAAATATATAACTTTTTAATTCAATTTTCACTTACCTTTGAACTTCTGCAGGATGGGCAGCTGTCATGAGGAATGTGGGTAACAGCTGTCAATGATTCTCGTTGTGTCTCCCACCAAAGAACTAGTTCCTCCTAAGAAGTGGCAGCGGCCTCTTCTCCCAGAGTCCAGCGGCCCCTTGTTGCATTTGCCCCCTATTATCTCAGCTACTCTGTTTTATGTTCTTTACTGCTTCCAGCCTGTTGTCACTGCTGATGTCATTATTCTTCTCCTTGGCTACCAGCATCCCCGATGCCAGCCCTGTAGGATATGGGTCCAATAAATACCGCCTGGCCATGTATCTTTGTACTCTGTTTCTCTTGATGCTGAGGAATAATTTTGTATAACTTTAGAGTTCATCACTCCCCACCTACTCATGGCCCTGTCTTTCTTCAATTTGATCAATATTATCCAGGTAATATAAAAGAGGACCCTCAATTCATGAACCCTTACCTCCAGACAGTAAATAGTTTTAAACCATTTCAATTGCACTGTCAGATTTTGTAACACTTTTATTTATTAATTGCTTAATATCCCCGGACAGATTAGGAAGTTTAGCCTTTTAACAGTATGATACCTCCAATCAGTTTGGCCCTCCTGTGAATAATAATGATTTCCTTCTGCCTACCTGCCTTTCAAAGTTGGACTTTTGTTTCTCCTGCCTTTGGATTGCATGGAAACATCAACTCTTCCAGGGCCTCAAGCCTACCAGCTTTTGGACTAGAACTACACCATCAGCTTTCCTGGGTCCCGACCTTGCCAACTGCAATTCTATTCTTAGGACTTGTTTAGTCTCTCGAATTATGTGAGCCAATTCCTTATGTTACACAAAGACAAATACTATATATATAATACACACACACACACACACACACACACCCCTTATATAACACACATACATATTATATATATAATATGTGACATATATACCAATATCTTATATATTCTTTTTCTCTGGGGAACACTGACTGATACACCAACTCCAGCTCACTCTGATATTTGTTTTGTTTACTATACAAGTATTTTTAAATTTTTTTTCTAAATTATGAGTTTAGATTGTTTTATTTTAAATGTTTCCCCACTTGTAAATAATTGAAGAATCTCATTCCCAAAGGCAGTTGCTCTATGATCAGCTTTCTCTTTTTCTTATAAATATGGAATCAAAATAAATGCGTGCTGGCCTTCCATCCTGTTGCAATTCTTCAAACTATTCTTCATATTATGTTCATGACCCGTGTTCACAAAAAAGGGTCTCCCATGAACTTCTGCTCTATTCTAACTTCTGGAAGTTTACTGTCTGTGAGGCTTCATAGAGTGGCCTTACATTTTCCACAGCTGACAATGCCCCTCATGAACCATCCTGTCTTGTGAGGCTCCCAAAGCTAATTGTCAATACTTAGGGCTCCGGGTAGTGCCCAGTTGTGTGAGATTGGATTATCTCTGGGTCAGGAAAAGGATTTTGCCTCAACACTATGCCACTTTCCTACCAACCCTCCCCCAAGACACAGATCCTGCTGGCACTTAGGAGAGACTGTGAAATTCCGGGCAGAAGCCAAGCTCCTTGTCTTTCTAATTTTTTTTTCTGTCCCTACCAAAGTTTTTAAAATTGTAAGTTCCATTTTAGTTAGAGCTCAAGTTCAAAGAAAAATGTCCTTCCTTACCTTTAGCTGATATTAAGAATGTGTCTCCCTGCACAGGGCTCAGTATTGAGAGGGCAGACTTTATCTACATACAGAGATCACTGGCCTTCCCTGTTGCATTAGGCAGCTTATTTTAGACTAAATCTTTCTCAATACAGATGCTCCTCAATTTCCAATGGCGTTATGTCTCAAAAAACTCATTATAAATTAAAAAAAAAAAAATCACAGGTCAACAATGCATTTAATGCCCTCATAAGCTCATCTTAAAGTCAAAAATTGTAAATGTAACCATCATAAGTTGGAGACCCTCTGTATTTGTGAAAGTAGGAATAGGATGTTGAGAGCAGGAAGGAGAAAAAAAAAAAAAAAACAGGTCAATATTTTAAACCATTATTTTATTAAACGATCATCTTTTACATGTCATCAGACCTTACCCCTGAAGTGCAAAAAACAGTTTGAGGTATTAAAACTGAAGAAATGTTTGCACATATTTTGTAAGGTTTTTCACACTATAATAACTGTAAAATTCAGTATAACTAAATACTCCATATAACTGCAGATTTATAAGAACAAAGTTGTAAAAAACAGGCTTGGTTTATCTCATTATAACTCTGATTCTTCCTTTTATGATGAAAGGGTGGCAAAAAATAATATGATACTTAAGTTGCTTCCCAAATGATATGTGTCCATTATTCGATTCTATAAAATGGAGTATAGAATTGAAAAGGCCAACAGCTGAAACAGCGGCCATTCCAAAAGCATAAAAATCAAATTGACAAAACAGCTTAAATGATATAATGTCCTATTCACAGAACTTAATCCTAGAATCAATGGCAATTCACTTAAAGTATCTGAAATAGATTTACCAGTATATTTCAATACTATCCATGTACACATAGGGTAACATTAGTAGTATGGTCAGTTAATCATGTTAACACAGATAACGTTCAGAACAGTCACTTCAAAGTTATTTTGCAGTAACACAGGGAAGAGTAGACTGGCTTTTTACGTGATTTAAAATATTTTGTGTGTGAATAAATTATCCAGAGACTTTCCAGATCCCACTTCCCTTGGTGTCTACACCTTGAAATAAAAAGTTGATGCAATTATATAGCTAATTATCGCAATATAAATACTTTCTCCTGAAATATTCAGGCAAATTGGAGAAAAAGTGTTTTTCAGCTTGAGGATTGATTTAATTATTAACTCAAATTGTAGACATTTCATTTGAAGCAATCTAATATTGCTTGATGATTCACATGCAGTATAACAAATTAAGTCCCGACTAATGGGTCACCAACGTTGAATAGAAATTAGCGATTACAGCAATTTCTTATAGTTAACATGGCACTTCTAGTAACTTCACATGCTGGGTTTTGGTTGGCTATTAAATTGTTTTATTTGTTCAGCGCATAGGTAGCTTAAACAAAGAGAACGTTGATTTTTTTTTTTGTAAGAACATGGGCTGCTTAAAACTTGCTTTTCTGCAAAACTGATAAAGGATCAAATGCTTCTTGCAGTTTACTATTAGAGGAAAATATTGTTTATTCATGGCAATTATGAAACCTACAAGAAGATACGTTAAAAAGAAACCCTCTCCTGATTAATTGTATTGCCTGGCACCAAAAATATGGGGGGAAAGAATATCTTTTAATGTAGATTCCAACAATGTTCTGCAAACGACACTTAACCTAAGTTTCCTTTTTGTTTTAGGAAAAAGGGAATCTAAACTGTTCAAAACCCTTCTAGGAACAGTATGTTTATGAGCTGATGATAATGTTCTCTTTTCACAACTACAGCTTGTTTTCACATGTAATGATTCCTGAATTAAAAATAATCTTTGCATAGTTACCTCACTGCTGGAAGCACAGCTGCAACAGCAGTTGAACTGTTTACCTGGGAGGAGAGTTAACATGTGCTGATGTTCTCACGTGAACCAGAAGAAGAAAACCAATCACAGCCATTCCTATTCTAACAAATAATGATCTAGGGACACTTAGTACTAGGACACTTGGAAGCTAACAACTATTTTCACTATCTTCTATACAAAAGGATGCCCCAGGTTAAGAGATATGTCCCAAGAGTTTCTTTTAAAATGAGTATTGTCAGACATGGAAATCAGCCAAAAACACAGGAGGTCATAGAATGAGTAGTCACATCTCAGGTATCCAAATTGGCCAGTCCAGTTAAAACACATCCTGAAGCAGGGAATATCTGGATTAAAACAAAAAGCAACATTTATTCTAGGACCACATGTGCAAATCTAAATGCCGCTGCACTGGGCTTTAATGCTTAAGGGGGAAATGCAACACATTTCATTTTTTGTCTACTCCAACCTTTTATCTTTTAACCAACAATCAAAAGCAAACTGACATAAAATGAAATATTACTGATCCTGGAAGAGCTAAGTCCTGAATATTTTTCACTTATTGTCAATATATTCATTGGTGGCATAAAAGTACGGCTGGCCACATACATCAGTGACAATAGCAATATTATAAACTTCTTTCACTATCATTATGCTGACAAGCTACACTGTGAAATTTATCAAACCTACAAATATTGAATGTGGACTGACATGAAATTCAGATGGAACACTGACTGCAGTTACACATAGTTTAGTCAGTGAAGCCTTCTCCAGAGAGGAGGCACCTGTTACAGTCAGTCAAAGACTGGGTTTCTTATGCCATTCAACACTAAACTGGTGGGTCCCTTCCTGTGCAGAAGGGCCAGTGAGCACAGAAGAAGAGAAAAGCTCATAACTCCCAGAATGACCATTCCTGATATCAGTGCACTGGTGATGGCATTCAGCTGGAAGGGAGGCACACTTGGAGAACCTGCAAATAATGAAACACACCCAGTTGTAAAGGCCCCATATAATATTTATCCCACCTTAACCCAATTTTACCTGCAAAACGTCTTTCATCAGCATCTCATAGAATAGCAGCATGGCACTGAATTGTGTTACAATCTATTTGACTGTAATTCAACCCAATACCAAAGGATTGTATGGTTTAGAGGCTGCCCATGGGCCGCCAAAACCAAAAATACCAAAAAGCTATCAAATGCTATAAAAATTGACCAATAGATCACATATGAGTTTGAAAACCCTCAGTCCCTCAGTGAACTGTTACCTAAAATGTACCAAACTTGGAAAACTCAAGCTCATTACACTGAGATGATTACAGCTTTGTAACTGATCACCAAAAATGTAAAAAAACAAAACAAAACAAAACAGCAAAATATGTTAATTATCTTACCAAGTTGTGAATTGTTGGTTGGAGTCTCATCTGAGGGGAAAAAACAGGAAAAGAGAAGTGACATCATCTCTCCAAATATTTACCTTTGTTTATTCTGATTAATAATTACTTTGTACCTACATTTTTACCTATATCTCCTCTTACTTCCACCCATAATCTCCTTGAGTAAGGCAAAAATGAAAGGCCTCCTAAACCATTCTGCTTTTCCATGCCCTGTTTCATATGTCCTGGATTTCATCATCTTTCTATTCCCCAAGCCCACATTCTGCACCTGTCCTGGGTATACAAATGTAATCGAAAAACATCTATACTATGCTGTTTTCTTGCCTGCCAACTTTGTTTCATCATTAGCTCTCCAGTCAGGTTAGTGGGGGCAGTAATTGTTAACAGCTATTACATTTTTTATGGTCCTATAACCTGCTATTTGTTATTCTGTTATACAGAATATTCATTATTTAGTGCCACTCTATTTTAAGTATTGCCAATTTGTCCAACATAATCTGCAAACACATCACTTTAAGTTCCAAGAAGATAAATTTACACTTAATAACTATATGAAAGGAAAACATGACTCCTGAGCTTGAGTTGTAGTCTTATTTGCATCTGTTAAGTAAAAGATTGAAGCTGTTGATTTTTGACTTTTCCCTGCCAAACACAATAATAGATGTGATGAACATATTACTTGATTTCCCAATTTTTATTGTCCAATTTGTCATCATGTTGCTATTAACCCTTGAGCTTGTGTGAGCTCATATTTCATATTTGAAATAATAATTTCATATTTGTGTTTTAATATTTGCGTTTGTTATTTGAACCATATAATGTGTGCAATTGACTGTTTATTTCTGGAATATAAATATTATTACAATCAATATGTGTATAAAACTACATAGTTCATAAACTGCTGTTTCATATATTATCACACTTCATTCTCACAGAAGCCATATGGTTTGGATATTATTGCTACCCCCATTTTACCGATAAAGAAATTTCCATCTGTCACAGCCTTTATGACAGAGTAAATATATGCTTAAAACAAAGCTCAGTTTCAGAGTCCTTTTCCTAAAATAATATAAACTGGCCAAGTATGAAAACTATTTCTGGTGATGAAGATGAATATCTCAAGCTATGAAACTCTAGGATGAGTATTTAAAACAAGTAAGGGGAGAACCTGGTGAGATATTTATAAAATATCTGACACAATTTTTTTTTTCAGACACATGAATCTTGGCAGAAACGATGCTTTCTGATCCTGAAGTATAATGCTCAAAATTAATACGGCACTCATTCATAGCACTCTTTTGAATGGTGCAATGCATCGCTATAGGACAAAAAGAAAAATAACACACATTTTTATTATACAACATTCAGAAAAATCCTAATCTCTAACCAACACTACTTTATAATCACACTTGCTTCTCATGGAAACAGATGGGATGAATGGACTATGAGCAATTCTTCCAAAATATCCGTGTGCTCTTTTCCCAAGATGAGCTGCCTCACTGGAACACAGGGGGGAGAATATATAATGGTACAAAATTTCTTTTTGAAAGCTATTGTCTTTTTTAGAAATCACACTTAATTGCTTTAAAATATTTCAACTAAAAAATAGAAAGTTCCTTTCTAATAAGTGTTCCAAATAAGACAAAAGTGCTATGACTAGATGCCCTCTCTGCTATTTTCTGCCTCCTAAGGTTAACAAAAGTCAGACTGTCCCCCTCACTCCCCATATTACCACCAACACTTCTATAGAAGCAATATTTCAGGTGTCATCAATGAGGACTTGGCTGTGGACAATATCTCCCTGTGCGGAGAAAGGACGCACCCTTTTCCAAATGAGACTGGAATGACAAAATCCAGGTTCCAGGACTCTGAATAAATGAAAGAGTACTACCTTTGGCAGGTGGTTGAAATCAAAACCTGTGATATTCTAATACTATTTGGAATTGTATTTGATAGTGGATAAAGGTGGAGAGAATTGCTTTATCTAGTTGCTATTTCTGGTAGCTTCCAATTTTTGTATTATTGCAAACAAAGCAAACAAACAAACAAACAAAACATCAAAGCACTGTAAAGCCTTGAAAGGGAAGGTAGACATTTTTTCAGGAGACTTTTATCGCACCACAGCTTGTTTTTTCCTCGAACCCACCTGGTCTTGACATGTACATATATGCTAAAAGAAACACCTGAAGCCTTCTGGAATTAGAACTGATTGGAATACCAAACTTTTGGGGGTCTCCAAGAGTATATTTATCTATTTGAAATCCTATAGGAGGAAGGTGATAGCAGCAATGCCACAGTCATTTGAAAGCCAGAAGTGGCAGATAAATTGTCATTCTCTGCTTTCTCATGTAAGTAGTTGAAATAATAATAATAATAAAAAGACCACGAAAGATATATGCAGAATAATTTTTTTCTCTTAGCACTAGAAAACTATTTTTTAAAAAAACTTTAATAACCTATATAGTAAAATAGACCACACATTTCAAGTTAATAAGCGCCGACCTTTTTACTTTCCACAGTGTTATGTTCGTTAATAGTCTGTTTCTACCTCTGAACTCTAAGATCTCCGAGGACAAAGTCTGTGGCCTGTTCTCTGTTGTATTCCCAGTTCCTAGAAGAGTGCCAGTCCCATGAAGAGACTAAACAAGCATGCTCAAGTGAATTATTAACTACTCACAAAACTCAACAATTCTAATTGAACAAGAATATGGCTTGGGTTTCTCAACAGCAATTTAATTAAACAAAACAATTAGGTATTGTTTTCTGGTGTTGGTGCCTTTAGATTTCCAGAATTGCACCCTTTGATAAGCACTCCCCTATCCAAGCACGTTTAGCATTTTGAAGTTTTAAATAAGAGCACTTCAGGAAATTTCTCTTGAGGGGTTGCATTATGAGGGTGTGAAGATTTTCCTAAGTAACAAAACTATTAACAATGTTGGGTAAAAAAAATATCCAGAATGGATTTGATTTCATTAAAAAGCAAAACAAAACAGGAGTTCTGAGGTTTAACAACTTACTGAACTTGACCTAAGCTAGATGTCTAGGGAAAAGGAGTGGTTCAATGAGCAAACAGAGCAAAACTTCCAAGAATCAGAGAGCTTTGAAGAGAGCAAATCAAGCCTGAAATTGGACTTGTCTATATAAAATTGGCCACAGGACCCGAAGAGATAAATTCTAGCTTACCTAAGATAAAAATAAAGTGAAACTAAGGAAAAAAGGTAGTTCTGGTCATGAAGCTGAACATGAAGTTTACATAGGATTTGCATATGGATGGATAGGGCTTGAGTTCTGAGTTCTGTGTTCATGTGGAATTCTTAAAAATATATTTTTTCATGGGTATCATAGTATTACAATGTAAATATCTTTATATACGTTCCTCTAAGCAGTGAGACCACCATGATGACTAAAGAAGACCATGCCAAAATGTATCAAAATTATTTAAAAATAATTCCAGAGAGAATGAGAGCGGATTCAAGGGAACCCTGAAAGTGTGAGTGTGCTCCTCTGGGGGCTCTGCCGGTGGAGAAACTGGAGGTGATCCCAAGACAACTCTAGCATGTTGGGCAATAAGTGACATTCTTGAGGTGGAAACTGGTTGAAAATTGGAAAGAAATCCAGGCATGACATCAGAGGCATTGTGATAGCTCTTTGTGGCAACTGGACATGGGATGGAGGAAACCTATAAACCTAGAGAACTGTTTACTTATGTTAGAATTAGAGACTTCTACTTATTTATCTTTGCTGGGATTTGGGGGATCTTAGAACCTTTTTTGAATTTTAAAAATTATTTTACACTAATGATATGGTTTGTGTACCCACCCAAATCTCATCTTGAATTATAGCTCCCATAATACCCACATGTCATGGGAGGTAATTGAATCATGGGATCGATTTTTCCCATGCTGTTCTCATGATAGTGAATAAGTCTCACAAGATCTCACAGTTTTATAAAGGGCAATTCCTCTGCACATGCCCTCTTGCCGGCCACCATGTAAGACATGCCTTTGCTCTTCTTTTGCCTTCTGCCATGATTGTGAGGCCTCCCCACCCATGTGGAACTGTGACCCCATTAAATCTCTTTTTCTTTATAAATTACGCAGTCTCAGGTGTTTCTTTATTAGCAACATTAGAATGGATGAATACAGCTAACAAATTATTTAAAAACTGTAATACTTAGTTCTGCGTAGGCAAGAAGGAAGACGGTAATTAAGGAGGAAAAGCCATCTACCCAAGATGAACAGAAGAAATGTCACTTTTAAATTTCTTTTCTTATAGCAAACTGACTCTAGATATGCTCCATGGAAATAAAAATCTCTTTTATTGTGCCTACCCAAAAGCAATCCTAATTATTGGCAGCAAGAACTGAGTTTCCATTCAATGTAATTCTATGAGCCACTTCTGAAAGCTAGATAGAGATAAAAAATGGGACTTTCACAAGCCACAAACCAGTCTTTTATTTTATTTTATGTTATGTTATTTTATTTTATTTTTGAGACACAGTCTCACTCTGTTGGCCAGGTTGAAGTGCAGTGGCACAATCTTGGCTCACTGCAACCTCCGCCTCCCTGGCTCAAGCAGTTCTCCCGCCTCAGCCTCCCAAGTAGCTGTGATTATAGGCGTGTGCCACCACACCCGGCTAATTTCTGTATTTTTAGTAGAGATGGCAATTCACCATGTTGCCAGGCTGGTCTTGAACTCCTGACCTCAGGTAATCCACCCGCCTCGGCCTCCCAAAGTGCTGGGATTTCAGGCATGAGCCATCGTGCCTGACCAAACCAGTCATTTTTAAACCAGTCAGAGCACATACCAAAAATCTTCAGGGAGTATGGGCTAAGTTTGAAATTTCATATTTAATATATCTCTGCATTATTGAAAGGGCCTATTGGTTTGTTTTTAAACAATGTTAGGACTACACAATTGTCTGAATGTTTTGGGCCAAAACCACTTTTTACTGATTTGCCTATTTCAGGCAAAACTTTCTTTTGACTGTGGGATGGGCAGCATGGAGAAAAGGTACCGAAAATGTAACTGAAACATAGTAACAGCATTAAGGCTAATATAAAATGGAGAAAACATTATTAGCATATAATCCAAATCAGAATTATTCTCTTTTTTGGGAGAAAATTTAGAACGATAGAGTTAGAAAAAAAAAATCTTAAAACTTTTATTTTAAAATGAATAAAACATTTTAAAACTTTTTAAACTTTTCAAAAACTTTTACTTTAAAAATGAAGAAACATTTGCCCAGAGAAATGAAACAAAACCTCTACTCACATGGCATGTTAGAACAAAAGCTAAACCTAGAACCTGTTTTTCCAGCTTTAGTTTCAGAGTTTTTCATGCCACATCTCTGTTTTATCCAATGGACTCCGGAAGTCTCTGAGTTCACACTGACTTAAACCTACAAAATCTACATCCATTTACTCTGTGTGTGTGTGTGTGTGTGTGTGTGTAGGTACATGTATGCACATATATTTGCATACCTGAGAATATGTTTATAAACAGTTATAAAGAGTTGTGTCCATTAGATCATATAAATTCATGAGCACAAATGAATGCAGTAGATGAGAGTATGTAATATGTACAATTCTGAAAGGCAACAAATCGTACTCAAACTGGGCCATATACGGAGTGTTTAATAGGCTATTTATAAAGACGTAGAAAATTCACGACAGAGAGGAGAGTTAAGGGACGAGGAGAGTTAAGGGACAAGGAGAGGGTTTTCAGAGTAGTTACAGGGAGAGAATTGTCTAGGAGGAGCCCTGTGGACTCCACAATTTCTGTGCCCTCCCATCTGCTTACAGCACCACCGACTAGTCAAGCCCAGCCAGAAACTAGAGGGCAAGAGAGCGAGAGGCTGCAGTCCACTCAAATTAGTAGTCATGGGTGACAGCAGGGCAGAGGAGGGTGAAGCGTATTCACGGGGTGATTACACACGTCCAGCATGGGCCGGGCTCACGCCTGTAATCCCAGCATTTTGGGAGGCCGAGGTGGGCGGATCACGAAGTCAGGAGTTCGAGACCAGCCTGAGCAATATGGTGAAACCTCATCTCTACTAAAAATACAAAAATTAGCCAGGTGTGGTGGCAGGCGCCTGTAATCTCAGCTACTCGGGAGGCTGAGGCAGGAGAATCTCTTGAACCTAGGAGGTGGAGGCTGCAGTGAGCCAAGATCACATCACTGTACCCCAGCCTGGACAACACAGCGAGACCCCGTCTCAAAAAAAAAAAAAAAAAAACAGGTCCATCATGGCATACTCGTGTGTGTGTGTGTGTGTGTGTGTGTGTGTGTGAAAACAGGAAATGTAGTAAAGACAATATTGCCCTTTGTGTGAAAGTTGAGTAAACAGGAAAACTACTGTGAAATTAAAGTTGCTTAGCAGTTTATCTTGTCTCACAGTTAATTAGTGCTGTTTAGGAACCACTTTGAGTTCTTGTTGGAAGCCAAGTAACGAGGCATTTTGGAACCGTCTATTACTACATACAGAAGGAGGAGCACACTTACCACTCCGAGTAATGATGGGACCAGCAGAGAGCACCGCACTGCCAGAAGAGCTCTGGGAGCTCCAAGTCGTCCTCCTCCCAGCATCTCTCCTTTCTCTGTGGCTGCAAATCTGAGGTGTTAATGAAAACAAATGAAATTCCACACCAGCACAGAATTGTTTCTTTATGGCCATTTGGAAAGCAGATTCTTTTGGAAGAGATACCACATGTTTAATTTTATTCATTTCCTTCTGTGCATTTATTTAATTACTTTGCATGTAACTGCTACAGTGTTTCTTACCCTGGCTTGGGCCACATTTCTTATTTCCTCCCTCTGTAATTGTGCACTGCCTCATTAATTTACAGAGCTCAGTGGCTCTCTTGAAAAAGTGCTGTGTTTATCAAACTTTTCTACTTTTATTTCTCTCAAGCCTTTAATAAATCCTTCCTGGAAATGCTGGTCAGCATGGACTTAAGGTAATGTGGACTCTCCATTTACCCCTATCTGACATTGCTTATTAGTCCGAAGGGATCCATGAGTATGAAGAAATAGCTTCCCATTTATGCATGAATTGAACATAAATATAAACATATTAACGTATTTCAAATTAAAAAGGGGCCTGTGTTTTTCTCAGGTTAATAATGATGTGACCCTAGAGAGCCAGTCAGAATAGAATTTTTTAATTCACTACTAAATGGATCTTTATTTTAATGGTGACTGTATGCAATTCAGATGCACACCTTTCACTGCTTTTAGCCTTTAATCTCAGTGATTTCCCGACCATCTGACCACAATCTACCTTTCCAGCACTAGCCCAGTGCGCTCCCCGGGTTTTCCAATCATCTCTACTCTGCTCTACAACCCTCCTGAAGAACTAGAAGCTCTCTGATCACACTAATTTATGTGTCTGTGTCTTTGACCATCGTTTGGCCAGCAGTGTCTCTCACAGTCTTGATTTTGGTTCTTTGGGGTTCAGTCCACTTCAAAGTAACAGCTGGAGTTCATCTCCACCAATCCTCTCAACCTCTCCTGATTTAACTCTCTTGCAATGGTGAATACCGCCTATTACTACCATATATTTGTCTGAATTTGCACCATAAGATTTTTGTCTTGCTTTCTTCTGTGACTAGCTCATGATCCTAAAAGATAATCTAATTAAATTCAGAATTTGTGCATGCCTCATCTATGTATCCCCAGTACAATGCTTGGCACAAAGTAGGATATTTAGCAGACCTTTACTAGATAAATGAATAAATCCTACTTCAAACTATTTGGCCTAACACCTATCCACTTTCCAAGCAGAAATTAGTTTCTGACGTTTGATAAACTTTCAGCTTAGATCAATTCAACAACTTAGAATGAAGTTCTTCAAAACATACCGGCATAAGGAAGGGACAGTCATCTGCTCTACAGAGCTTGGTAACACAGTGCAAGAAGACAGTGGACATTTTCTGATTCTTGTGTTTCACAAATCGGAACACTTCAAATGAAAACCGGCCCCGCTGGCTTCGGCCATTCTCAATGACGGTGGTCTGAGGATCCTTGTCACAGCTAAATTTTAGGGAACGTGAAAACAGGACATCACTGGAAAGTATCAACCTACTGAGACTTGTAAATTAATTTCTACCGTGTTAAGGATCCACCATTACATTAAGAGCTAACAGAACCATACCACGTTACAGACATTTAATCATAGTATAAGCTAGTTCAACAGATATGACAATAAAGCCTGGATCATAAAATTTAAACAGATCAGTTTCTGATTGCAATAATAGCTAGAAGAATTATACTTTCATATAGTTCCAAAATCCAAACAATTTAAAATATATAGAAACCTGCCAGAGGCGATCTCACTTCTTTTCATTCTCATTTATTTTCATTTATTTTCACATCATTCCCAGGGTATATGAAAATAGAAACAGAAGCAACGTATTCTTACTGTCCTCCCTCCTTAAACATGTGATAGCATATTGTCTACACTACGTTGTACCTCGCCTTTTAAAGATTTAGCAGTGTTAGAGATCTTTTCGTATCAACATTTAGAGAGCTTCCTCATTTTCTTCCACAGCTGTATAGTATTTCATCATGGACATGTTTCAGACTTTATTTAATCAGTTTCCTATTTATGTACATGCATTGTTTTTAATCTTTTGCTTTTTTGAAATGAAGTAATAATGAATAGCCTTATGATATATCATGTTGAACATGTACAGGATTATCTACAGAATACATCCATATATCAGAATACATCATTTAATAGATATTGTCAAATTGCCCTATATAAATATTGTTCAATTTTGGACTTCACAAGCAATAGATGAAAACAATGCTTACTTCTTCAGAGCTACATCAGCAAAATGTATGGATAAAACTTTTTATTATTCCCTATTTGAGAGTAAAAATGAACTATCACCCTATAATTTTAACTTATATTTTTCTTATAATTAATGAGTTTGTATATCTTCACATACCTCATAGTCATTTGCATTTCTTTATCTGAAAATGGTTTATGTCTTTTGACCAAATTCTGTTGTGTTGTTGGCCATTTTCTTTCTGATTCTTATGAGTTCTTTTATGTGTTAAGAAGAGTGGTTACTGGTTGTTATATAAGTTACAAATTGTTTCACTTTGTTATTTGGCTTTGGACATTCTGTGTGTGTGTGCGCGCGCGCGTGCGCGCGTGTGTGTTCACAGTTTTACTCTTATGTAGTTAAATTTTCAATATGTTATTTTGTGGCTTCTAGTATTTAGACTGAAAAGAGTTTCCTTACTCCAAAGTTTTGAGGTATTTCTCTCGTTTTATTCTACCACTTTTAAAGTTGTAGCTTTTACATTTAAATTAATAATCTATTTAGGTTTTATTATGGTGTATTGAGTGAAGTATGGGTCCAATACTATCTTTTATCTTACTATTATCCATGTCCAACACTGTTTTTAAAAATCTACTTATCCCACTGATTTGTGGTTCCACACTCCATCGTACACTAAATTCCTATATGTTTGGGGATCTATTTCTCAGTTTACTGTTCTGTGACTTTTGTCTATGTGGCTAGCCTTGCATAATATGACATTCCTTTAATAACTGTAGACATTTTATTGACTGTGATATCTGATAGAACCGTACTCTGCTCATTTCCCTGTTGATTCCCCTCTTATCTTTTTGTATTTGTCATTTATCCCTTTTTTTCTTGATTTGATTAGCTTGTGATTCTCTATTAACATATTTTTTCAAGGAACCTACTTTTTCTTAACTTCTTCCAGAACATTGGTTCATATTTTCATTTTTGATACAAGTCTTATTTATGGGTTTTACAACTTCCAGTGGTGAGGACTTCCTGGTTTTTGATATTGTTATGAATTGTTGTCTCACTGTATATAGCTTATTGCTTACGTCATTTAGATTTCCTATATCCTTACTTCCTTACTTACTTGTTGGCCACCAGAAGTAAGTTTTCTAAGAGGTAAAATCTCTAATTTTTTATTGTATTTCTATGTCTTTTTATATTTCCCCTGGTTTCCACTTAATGAAATCTTTAATTTCATCCAGGGCATCAATTCATTATGTCAATGACAGATTTTTTTTTAATTTAGGAAAGTGTTCCTGGATTATATTTTTAAACATGGTGTTCTATTATTTTGACTTTTGGGTGGACAATTCTAATTATGCATATTATACATATATTGAATTCCCTTTCTCACCTTTTTATTTCTATCTTACTTATTCCTCTTTTTATTTTCCTTTATTTTTGTTTACTTTTATTTGTATTTCTTATACTTATCTTCCATGTGCCACACTGTTTCTGCTGTGATCTGCACACCTTTTGAATGTCTTCTAATTACGTGTCCCTTCCTCTCATACATTTTTTTATATTTCCATTTATTTTCACTTATCCCAGTTTCCTTTTCACATTTCCATAGCCATGACTTTTACTGTCCTATCCTTACTTACCTAAGTTCTCATAATTCTATCTTCATAACCATGATGCTTTTTGCTTTTTAAAAATGAATGTTGGAATGTATATATTATATATTCTGTGGCAACAGTTTTCTGGTGAGTTTAATTCATCTTTAAAATTTCTTTTCTGCCATTTTCGATATTTTTCCTGTAGAATATTGGAATACTGCAAGAAATACCTGCATCTGTTTATCATTCAAGTTTGAAAGAGTTGGATTTCCCTAAAGCTAAAACTTTTAGGACCCCTAAGGCAATGTGGAATGGTAAATACCTTCCTTAAGGGTTTCCCCAACTCAAGGGCTCCCTCCTCTGTTTTTCAATAACAATTGTCTTTGAATAGAGCAGAACTGTGCCACTCACTGAGCTTAAAAGATATTCACTGGTTCTACCACCAGCTCTGGGTTCCTGAGGTTTATTCATCAGCCTTGCCACCAAGGCAGAGCCCCTGCCTTCCCAGGTGATTCCTTCACCTTCAGAAGGTGTGCTTTTGCTGGCACTTTCTGAGATCTGCCACTTCTGAGGCTCTGAGCATTCTCTACTGTTTCATTCTTCAGATTCCCCAGCCCGGGGGATAGCAGTTTCCATTCAAGGTAGTGCCCTTTCCTTCTAGGTGTGTATTTCTCCTGCTGCTTCTGGGAGCTGACTCCCTTAGGACCCCTCAGCACCCACTTTTCTTCCCTGCCTTCCTTACCACCTCTTCTACACTGCTTTCTACACCATTTTCTCTTGATCTTAACTGTTTTCATCAACACTAACATTTCCTTTAGAATTTCTAGGTTTTCTTTTCCTCCTACATTCACACAAAAGGACATTTGGGAAATTATTTTTCTTTATACATTTCACTCTGAATCGTTTCCAATACGAAAACTGAAAAGATTCAGAACTAAGCTGCTTCTACATTCACACAAGAAGTCTGATGATCATATTCCAGATTATTAATATATGAGGATTATAAAAGTTTGGGAAAATAAGAGAAATGTGAAAAAAAATCCATAACCCTACCAAGCACAAATAACCACTGGGAACCTCTTCCTGTTTCTCCTTACAGTCTTTTCTGTTATATAAATGAAGTTCATTATATATACAATTATATATTATGATCCTTTTCCTTGATATTTTAATACCTTTAAATGTTAAAGAACCAATTATTTTCAAAGATAGAAATACCAATTAGACAAAAAGGGAGAAGGTAAGAGAAAGCCAACCATTTTTTTTTCTATCTAAGACATAACTCTATATGATTGTAATCCCTGTATGGACTCTCAACTTACTGGTTGTCCATCATTCACCTAGCTATTTCCTTATGGCTGAATATATAATTCGTTCCCATGTTTTACTATTGTAAATATTACTGATAGACCAGAGCATCATACATATTTTAAAATATATTTCCCAATTTGTAAAGCTAGAATCAAAGAATATGAAACTTTTAAGACTTTTGATACATACTGACATTTTTTCCCAAAAATGTTGCCCAAATTAACATTTCCAGAAATAAGCTATGTTAGAGTAACAGTTTGACCATACCCTCTGAACGTCATCTTACCCTTTATTAGCCAATAAAGTGTATTCTTTTGGTCTCCCATTACATTACTTCCATCATGTGTCAATAAGCTGCAGTGAGCTGAGCCAACTGCACTTTATAAGCATGATTAGAAGACATTGCTTTACTCTCAAGTCTGTTCGGCTGTCAGATAAAAATGCTGAAAAGGAACTGGGATGATTGAATGGTTTCATGATCAATGTCCTCTTTCCCCAAATGTATATTACATTCACTCTATCACTGTCTATTGGGGAAGGAGGATGAAGTTATTGGCTCTAATAAAAAAAGGAGTGGTAGATTATATTATAGTTTTATACTAAATACTGATAAATGAACAAAAGTATTTTGGGGTCTAAATTATCCAGACCATTACTTTAATTTTACTCTCCTTTTGACATATGAGACAGTCTAGCTGTAGATAAATAGTAACCTCCATTGCATTTCTTTTCCTGCAAATAATGTCCTAACTATGCTTTTCCTAAAATAATGTCCTAACTATGCTTTTCCTAAGACAGTGAAATATTCCCATATCTCCTAAACATGAATAAAATATCTTTGGTGGACCTAACTTACTTACAACTCTGATTCAACAATAGCTTTATCAGCATTTTGTGTTGAAAACTTCTCTCAACTTTTAAACTTTCAGCTTTATAAGGACTCAAAGTTCAAAATGTAAAACTTGAAATTCAAAAGCTATATTAGTGATTTATAATTTATCTGACTTAGATTTTCCATTTCAGTTATCTACAACTGGGTCATTGGTATCAATACAATACTTAGACAGCTAAGTCTTACCTAAGGAAGAGATCATATCGAATGTCATCATTTGGGTTTCCTGATGGAGTTGTATAGCAATAATCCATTAAAACATTCCATCTGAAAGAATGTAAGCAAACATAATCTAGAGTCAGAATTTCTTTTTGGGTATTAGTTACTAATACAAGGGAAGTAAATATTGACAAAATTATTATCTCATGGAATATAATTGTTTATTACCTGTTATTTGCAGAGGTTTATTGTTTATTAAAACTTTCTCTTATTCCATCCTGCTTATTTCACATGCATGCCTGCATCAAAACATCTCAAGTACCCCATAAATATATATACCTACTATGTACCCATACAAGTTTTTAAAAAGTAATAACTTTCTCCTAAACTCAAAGTGTTTAAAAATCTGCACCAAATTGTCAATTTCACATTAAGGGAGTCAAGGCTAATGTCATAAATAATTGTGTACAAGAAAACTGAATGGTCAAAGTCTGAGAGGTAAACTTTAAAATGAGCTACATAGATGCTTATATGTTCACTGTAAACAATAGCCTTTTGTTTCTAGATATGACTGTCTCTAACAGAATCAGAGAATATTATAATAGCAAATACAGCAAAGGAGTTTAGAGTATAAATTGTATATCAGAATCAGTGATTTGGCGATTGTGGAGTCCCCAGTAGACACTGTGTTATGGAGAAGAAAGCCATGAGGCGCATACACATCCACATCCTTCCTCCATAATGTTAGATTTTGCTCACACTTATACATTAGTCCACTCCAACTCTGATGTTATAAAAAAAAAACTAATCCATGGGTAGTGAATGCCAATGAAATGGAAAAATCTCCTGCATTATTAAAGGACAATTTTAAATACTTACACAAGAATAGAAATATTTTTCAGGACAGGAAGAGGGAGGGTAAAGAAGAACGAAATTTCTGGAGTATACCAATCTCTTTAGGATGCAAAGTTTAAATAATAATACAAGAACAATCCAAAAGAGGCCATTTTCACATTACTTTTTTTTAATAAGGCAGGGTTAGAGCTTCAGCTTTTGAGTTCCATTTCAGTTTGATTGCTCTGAATTTTCTTAAGTATCATCCAAAATTTAATCGTTTTTTATAGAGATGTTTCTGGAGATCATTTTGTGTAATTTTGACACACTCTTATGCAGAGTCCTTTCATTTTTTAATAAATTCATATTGAAGAGTAACATACATATGGAAAAGCAAGCAAATCAAGTGTTCACAGAATGACTACATCTGGTTAATCATCTTTCTGATGAAGAAATACAACATTTCGGCATCCCAGATCTTCCCATGCCCCCTTCCAAGAACCACTCGCCTTCTTTGTGGGAAGACGTGTTATTTTCCGATTAATGACACAACATGAGTGTAACCTCTTAAACTTTGTAATTTGTTATTTCTTTTTAGTAGCATGCCTAAATGGTGTGGCAATGATAATACTTTCAAACTGAGTTTAAAAATGAATGGGCCAACTTTATGACTCATGAGGGTTTGGGCAGTCAAAGTGTTTTGACCTAAAAAAGATAAGAGTTTGAAATTACCTGCCATCCAGATTAGTGGCTTGGACAGCTGCAAATACTTTGGTTTTCAAAGGTAATCCCATACTGGGGATAATTAACTGCTGGTTGTAGGTTGAATCCTAATGACAAAACAATAAAAAATCTATTATTACCTCCCCAACAACAGCACACTTACTACTTAAAACAACAATGTTAGAGAGAAAAAAAAGAAAGTAAATCAACATAAATCTACAGAATCAATCGAAAAAGGATTTACGTGACCCTCTGGTTTCTTGGCAGAATTGTTATTAAGCCATATCCATGTAACAAATTGATTCCATGCATAAATCTTTTGTTTCCATAATTTACCATATATGGTGGCTGATGTTCAATGTATCTCAGTTATATTCAGTGGTCATTAGTTAATATTCAGTTTGGTTAATATTCAATGGTCAATATTTAGTTTACTTAAATTAATATGCCATTTATTTGATTATATTAGAGACTAATATTCTGTTTATTTAAATTACATCTGCTTCAATTTAAGCCCTTTACTATAGACACTGTAGGTCTTATACTTCTGATAATATTTTATTTACTCAAAATCACTTACCTGGCAACTTGAAATTGTTAAAATGTAATTGAAAATCAAAGTAAGACCATTTTAAAGTCACACAAGAACAGAAATTTTCTTCTAGGCACAATAGGAGAAAGTACAGGAGAACCACATTTCTAGAATATATCAATATCTTCAAGATGCAAACTTTAAATAATAATACACGGAAAACCAAAATGAGACATTTACACATTACATTTTGTATAGGGCAAGATTCAGTTTTTGAGACAAACACAGACTCCAGGCTGCTAGAATACATGCTGTATGGTTCCTGCACAAATTCCTTAGAGGTCACTCATACAAGGGTATCTCAGGACTTCATTTTTACTTTTCTACCCTTATTTTAGACCAATTCTAGAGAGCTTATTTGTATCATTCTCAAACCCACAGTAGATTAAAGCATTGGATTAGAAATTAAGAAGTGGCAGGTATAATTTGATAATGAAGAAAACCAGAAAATATAGAGTGCAAAAAACAAACCAAAAAAACCCTCCAGATTTACACAGTCATGTAATTTAACGTAGAGGCCAATTATTTCCCTAAACTTAGTAATTCTGAAGACATTGCTGTTTGGCAGCAAAGAAAAGTTTTTAAGGGTCATTATAAAATCTTAAAATCGTTGGGAAAGACAACATCCCAACCATACTCTCTTTAGAAGACTTGGAAGAAAGCAACATATTTTAAATTTTATAATTTAAGACAGTAATCGTTTGGATGCTTCACTTTTGAGAAAAAAATGTTAATACGGAATGTTTTATTTCCAAATAAAGTCAAATAAATAAGAGATATACTTAAAAACTGATACTCTTCAGTCTTTTGTTTTCTATATTTTGGTGATAAATGATCATAGCTCCTCTAACCATGTCTGGTATGTAGTATTTTTATGTAATTATCTTTCAGGCTCCCTTTTCCAACTTCTCCAAGTAACCTACACTTCATTAACTATACAGCCCTTTCATCTTATATTTGAATCAATATTATCCAGAAGAATGCTTACTTTCTTTACAACATTATATTGCTGAGTCATATGGCAAATGACATATGATTCAGCTGTGGTTTAATTATGAATCATCAATTTTTTCTTACTGAAATTGCTTCTAAGAGGTAATTTTCCGACTTTAATTTGTATGATGACTTTTACTCATTAGTAATATATTGTCCCTAAAATCAATTATATCCATTTTAATTTTTCTCCAGCATTTAAAAAATGTTCATAATTATAATAACCTTATGTAATATTTGCTGACTCTCCACCCTCTCAGAAGAATCTAACATTTAAGTAGAATTCCAATACACAAAAGCATCCTTACTTTCCATTTCCACAATGAACAAAACTGACATATTTATATTGCACAAAATAATGCCACAGTTCAGTTAGTAATCTTCATACATGAAAATCACGTAGTTGATGTCATTGGTTTTTTTAAATATAATTTCCCCTCAGTATACTTACTGAATCCCAGAACACATAAAACTAAACTATTGTGCTACATCGAACTGAGTACAACTTTTCCTCTCCAAACAACAAATCAGAAAATGAAAGTAGTAGGGATGTAATATAAAATTTCATCATCCTCAAGGGTTAGAAATAAAAAACTTTCCTTGTGAAACAGGAATTAATGGCTTCGAAGATTATAATATTTTATTTGGAATGCTACAATAAAATTACATCTGGCTAGCTACATGTTAATATTTCAAACAAATAATAAGGATGATTTTGGATCAACTAATGAAAGTGTATCAAAATTTTTTCTAGTGTAATTTACTAATTTTTAGATATCCTGTAACATGCCAAAATACTATGATGACACTGTGTTAAAAAAATTTTTAGGTTGAGGCATTGAAACTCTTCTGTATTCTTCTGTATTATACATCAATGATAAGCAAATGCCACTTTGTATTTATCAAAACCCATAGAATGTACAAGAGGAAGAGTAATCTCAACACAAAATAAATGTCAATTATGAACTTTGGTTAATAATGTATCCATATCGGTTTATTAATTTTAACGAATGTATCACACTAACACAAGATGTAAATAATAGGGAAAAAATGTGTGCAAGGGGAGGGGTATGTTTGGGAACTCTGTACTTTCTAATCAACTTTTCTGTCAAACTAAGACTGCTCTATAACTGATTTAAAATGAGAAGTATTTTAGCACCGTCTATTTCACTTGTAGTCTAATATAAAAAAAATTGGTTACCATATAATTAAAATACTAAGGTTATCATCTAATTATAGGCTTTTTAAGCATTATAACTTCAGAGATTCTTTGAAGGATTATACCTTGTTAGCAACAGAACTACAGTACCATCTCTAGTGATAAAAGAAAGACCTTAATAACAAAACTTTCCTGAAATCCACACTTCTAAATTTTTATTTTCTGCTATTTCAGTGAGAGAATAGTTTAATTTCACAGAAAGTAATAGTATCATTAAATGTCATATGGATATATTTTTCACTTTCTTAGGATCAGGAATTCTCATCTTTGTCTCACTCGATTATAACAAATAATATTAAATCCAACTAGTAAAAAAAAAAAAAATCCAACTAGTAATCTCAACTCTACCTCAGAGGGATTATGCATATAAATTAACAGACAGAAATTTTCCAGTTTAAAGTTATATAAATATTGTTAACAATAGTAAATATCTAGCCATATCAAAAATGAATATTGGCACACGTTTGCTGAGTATTGTAGAATCAATATCTCAGGCAGCTTCTCTCTTTCTCTCTCTCTCTTTTTTTTTTTTTTTTTTTTTTTTTTGAGACTGTCTTGCTCTGTCGCCCAGGCTGGAGTGCGTGTACGCAATCTCCACTGTAAGCTCCGCTCTCCGGGTTCGCGCCATTTCCTGCCTCAGCCTCCCAAGTAGTCGGACTACAGGCCCTGCCACCATGCCCGGGTAATTTTTTTGTATTTTTAATGAGATGGTGTTTGACCGTGTTAGCCAGGATGGTCTTGATTCCTGACCTTGTGATTCGCCTGCTTAGCTTCCCATAGTGCTGGGATTACAGGCGTGAGCCACCGCGCCCAGCCGACAGCTTCTCTTTGCAGAAGAAGTTCAGAAACGACAGAAAGGCAATCTTGATTATCACTTTTTATTTGTTGTTTAGAACTCTGTGGTGTCAGACTACAAACTTATAAACATGATTTTTTAAATGCCTTTGGAAAATGTCCTACTACATATTTATAGCTCATTATATTCAAAGTATAAAGCACTGACTTTTTAAATCAGTTGCATGAATTATAACTCGGTGCCATGATGACATGAATAATAATGTAAAAATCCGATTCATAATTTACAAAAATGTTGGTTGATAGATTGAAATTGATATTTAAATCAGGCATTTAAATGTATGAATAAAAATTTTAATCAACATGAAAATATCATTTAGGGATTAAGTTAGAGTTATAAATAGAATCTATGTATTTTTCACGTTTTTGCTGCCACTGTCGATATTTACATGACAAAAATTTAGATAATGCTGTGTACTCAATCCAAATTATTTCAGATGTGACAGAATTGTCATCAGCCAAAACCCATATCGAAAATATTAACACATTCATCACCAAGGATGGCCGCCAAGGCAAACACCGTTTGTACTTAAAATCTTTGCATCAACACATAAAAAATAATTCCCTAAATCTTGAAGCTAACTGTAGCTACTCACACACCCCTACCTAAATAAACAATAAATACCTGTAAATGTAGATAGACATTTGAGAAGTAATTATTTAAAATCACACTTATGATATAAAATTTAAATCATTTATCAACTTTTAGAAAATTTAATGGAGATGTTACTATACCTTTATCACTAAGATATATGGAAATGGTAGCAAAATAATAATTACCAAGGATAACAGGGTTAATGTGGCTTTCAGTAGTTTTTTATGTAAAAGCCATTCACATAAATGACTCCTCACAACAGTGAAAGAGAAAATAACATCCTTCACCCATCAACTTACATTATAAAGGAGCAGGTCTAAAGTGCTGACAAATTGTGCCATTGTTCTCTCTCACAGAAATAGCAGCTGAGGACCTAAAACACATTTAGAAAAAGGAAAGCACTCATGAGATTTTAAAGTAAAAGTGATACCTGAGATGTTAGATTTAAAGCACTAAACTCCGAATAATTCTGACATACTGTTTATTATGCTTGAATTTGCTATACTGTTTAAATCTCTGAACAAAGAAAATAATAAAAAGCAAGAGGAACAAGTAAAGACAAGCTATTCTTCATGATCATTTTATTTTTAAAGCAATCTTTTTTGTTTGTTTTGCATTACTTTTAAGAGATTTGGCAGATAAGGGCTTGAATTTGATGCAAATACACTTTCATCAATTCCATTGCAATAGAAGTTTCATGAGATCAGGGAATTTGTTTTACTTTGTTCATTGCTAGAACATTGGATGGTAAATAGGTAAGTGATAAACTGAATAATCAATGAATGGTCCATCTGGAATTGAAGCTCAGGAACTGTGTTCAGTGTGGGGAGTAGGGGGCAGAGTGAGAGACGCTTCCCTGTACACCCATATTCTTTTGACTCAAAGTCTTTCCTTTCTCATTTTCCACATCGAAGTCTTGCTTCTGTCCAAGGTACTTATCATCACTGTGCTATTAAAACCAGCTATGAATATTTTTTCACGGAAGTAGAATGTGGCCTCCACATTTCCTCGTAACTAAGATTAAGAAATAACTAAGACTTCATAATAGCAAATCCTAAAATTGAAGAAAGCGTTTGCTTAATCATCCCATTTTGTCAAAAATATTCAACAAATCCAGGTGATTATATTGGAATATGGACATAGCCCTCTCTGGGAGTATGTGCTTTGGAAATAATGAATACATGAAGATAAACAAAAGGCTACACCCTCAGTCCATATTAGGAGCTCCTTGACTATATGCCATGCCATGTTTCTGGGAGAATCATGAGCACCCATGCAAGTGACAGCTCAACAGAGGGATGGAGATCCCAGAATCTGGGTAGAAGAGCCCAGCAGTGAAAGCATATGGCTGAGACAGAAGCCAACCAAAATTCAGCAATGTAGTTACCAAATGTCATACACACTGGAGACACCACAGGGCCTTCAGGGCCATGAAACACCCAAGGCTCTTGGGCAAAGAGAGTGAAGAGAACCCAAGGCAGACAACTGGCTAGTTTGAGTCAGCTTAATCTGGGGGAAAAAATGGTTTGGGTCTGTTATGGATCATAACAATTAGAGATAGGTAGATAGATAGATACATAGATAATGATAGATAAACAGATAGAGATAAATATGTTAGACATAATATGCTTCCCATTACATTGTCTGAACTTAACTATTTTCAATAAATCCTGCTATCTTTCTAAGTCCCTGAAAGATAAGAAACAACTGAAGCAAAAATGCCATATGAGAAAGCAGGAATAAAATGCAAACTTACGAAGCAAGCTGGGTATTATTAACCAGGTATTCCAATGGATAGCTACAACTAAATTTGTAAAGAAGCCCAGGTAGATAGCTGATGATTGTTGGTGGGTCTGGAGTATCAATATATCCTGAAATATTTCCTATTTGCACTGAAGTTGCATTTCCATAAGCACTGATTCCAGGAATTGTGGATACCTGTTAGAATGTTAGAATAGTTTAATGATTAAATGGCTATATATACATCTAGGCACTTCATATGCAAAATAAAACATTAAGCAAGATCAACTATAAAATGAGAAGGTTTTGAAATTGCAAGTTTGTAAGTGAGAAATGCGATTTATAAGTGGCCTGTAAGTAAATGAAACTTTGTATTTACCAAAACACTTTACTCATACTTTATAAAAAGAAAGATTATAGGTTCAGACGGTTACAACAAGTAATCTGAAAACACTCATGGATGAAGCCAAAATTCTCTGGCATGGCTGAAAAAAAAAAAACCCTGTTAATCTGAATCTTTTTCCCTGTTAGCTTCATATCTCCAGGCTCCAACTCTTGAAAATAATGCTGTCACTCTCCCTACTTTCCCGTGATGTATCCTACTCCTCCCCAGGATCTCACCTTCCCTAGGAAATTCCTCTGACTCCCCATGTGCAGTGTTGATCTCCATCATATTTGTAGGCAGAGCAAGAGCAGCCTGCTCGCTGGGCAGTTCCCTCAGCCATCACCGACACTCTTTGTGGGCAGGGACCATCTTGTCCACCTTTGCAAAGTCAGCATAGCACAGCGACCAGCATCTTGGGCCCCACAAAGGGTTTTCAAATAAATGAATGAAGGTCGTAAATTTTCTGAGGACTGATCTTCTCAGGGTCTTCCTGTCTAGTTCATGAGGATACTTATCTACTTCTAGGACAATAGTTTATAGGTGGGTTTTAGGGGTTCATGAACTTTCAGAAGTTATGTAAAAATGTTGTCCATGTGTATTTTCTTGGGTCTGCTTGGCCTTCGTTGAATTCTCCAGTCTTACTAAAATTTAAGATCCACCATTTTAGGAATAATCAATAATTTTTTGACCTTCATAATACCAGAGAGTTCTTCGACCTTGTCAAATACAAGAGGGCACTCATTAAATATTTTAGCAGATATTACTTTATTACTAAGATCTGTGATAATTTTCAACAATAGAGTAAACTTTACGCATGAACCTAACAGCACATGGGTAAAGCTGTGGCAATTATCTAGTTAATTTATAAATGGGACAAGAATCTTTATGAATGAAAACATCATTATTCCAATCCAGAGACTTAGTAGCCTACTTAATTTTTTTCCCATGCAGGAACGATCTTAGAGCAGTTGCCAAAGCTGATAGCACTTAAGGCAAAAATGAAAGATAAGCAAATCTTCCCCTCATCCCACTACTTGCTTGATTTGATAACTAAACACACCAATTCTGTCTATGAAAATAAAATACATACATACATATATATATATATATATATATATATATAGCATTTTTTTTTTTTCTGAGACAAAATCTCACTCTGTCCCCCAGGCTGGAGTGCAGTCATGCAATCTCGGCTCACTGCAACCTCCACCTCTTGAGTTCAAGTGATTCTCCTGCCTCAGCCTCCCAAGTAGCTGGGATTAGAGGCACACGTCACCAGGCCCAGCTAATTTTTGTATTTTTAGCAGAGGTGGGGTTTCACCATGTTGGCCAGGCTAGTCCCAAACTCCTGACCTCAGGCGATCTGCCCACCTCGGCCCCCCAAGGTGCTGGGATTACAGGTGTTAGCCACCGTGCCCAGCCTAGCAATTTTTATAGCAGACTTATTCAGCTTTTTAAAAACGTAAACAGCACACACATTGCACACTTTTCCTGGCGTTTCTCCTGAATCGTTTTCTAGGCAGCAGGGCAAGGTGACACATTCAGACAAGAAAGGGAAGGAAAGGCTTCAGGGCATGGTGGGAGACGGGGAAATGCTGCTCATCTCCACATAGGCTCTTTCCTTCCACACAGAACAGGAACTTGTAATAATCGACCTGCATCACTCCCCCTTAGGCCCACTTCATAACCTCTCCGCACACAACTCAGAGAGCTGAATAAACGTTTTTAATAAAAAGAGTCAACAATACTCAGGCTGCAGGCTTGGAAATGGTCATGGGCACAATATTCTAACTGCCCTCTGGGAAAAGATAAAGAAGAAGATTCAAAGAAATCTATTTTCTCTGTCTTCCATCTCCCACCAAGTCTTAGAAACCCTGGCCTTGGAATAATCAATCCTTTCTCCTTAATACAAAATAATAACCTGCGAAGAGTAAAAGTCAATATCTCCTTCCCTGGGCTAAGTGATCATGTTTATTGTGCTTCCTTTTTTATATTTGCAAATTCACCAATAAGATTATATTTAAATAAGCAAAATAAAAAATAGTACTAAGTGAATTTCAGTGTAACTATTTAACTAATACTCCCGTCAAATCACAATATATTCACTTCTATTAATTTTAATTCACTGGAGAGTCAATTCCTTATTCAACTCTATTTTTGGTGTTCAATGCATTAATAAATAAATGAATGCTACAAACTAGTATTTCTAATTCAGGGTGGAAATGTTTGAAGAGATGTTTCAATTTTCACAATGACTACAGAGAGTGTGCTACTGGGATTTCATGGTAAGACTGGATATGATAAACATTTTGAAATTCAAAGGACAGTCCCACACACTTAAGAATATTATACCAGAAATACTGACAGCCCCTTTTTACAAGGCACTCGTATCGATCATTCAATGGTAAGCATGAAAGAAGATTACAAGCTTCCCATTCTGTCTTTCATCTTTCTTTCCAAATGAGGTCACTGAAACAACAGACCAAGTGGTTCACTGTCAGACTCACTGGAATAAACATTGTTTGAATGGTCAGACACTTTCTTCTAAAGCCTGAGGAATATGGCTAATGCTACACTGCAGAGACAGATCCATCAGTGTCACTCACACAAAAAAATGCTGCTTAGAGGGGCACAGCTGACCTCAGGCCCTTTGACTGCCCCACTGCTATAAACATAACCATTACTGGAAGATAGAATTGTGTATTTGGGAGTGCATGCCTCAAACAGGCAAAGGAAAATGATTTGTTCAATTTTATTATTATTATTTTTTTCTTAAGAGATAGATTGGGCTTCTTATTCTTTCATGAAATGGGGAGATTTTTTATTTATGACCCCAGACCTAGCACAAAATATCACACTAATCTTACCACCAAGTTGTTTCCACAGCCCTCCAAGGTGCTGAAATTGATGATAAAAATGACCACCGCTGGAAAGGTGTTGTTATTGATGAACCCTCTGCAGTGGGAGTCCCCATGCCTTCCATTCAGTGCCAGATCTGTTTCCGAATAACCCGAGAAAAGTACCGTGCAAAAATTAATCTTCATCGTAATGGCCTGCACCCCACAATAGACACTGATGTCTCTTTCAGCTGAAATAAAAATATATAAAAAACAAACATAAGTCAGAAAAGCAGAAAGAATCATACATACCATTAACATCCCACTGATATATTTATTCATCTCCTTTGTCTGTGTAACTCATTTTTATATTTGATACACCATAATCCAATGTGCCAGCTATTAAGTAGACAAGAAAAATAGCCTTTTATTTAGTTATTTAAGGAGAGATCTTTGAGTGTAGAGATTACAGTTCACCTCTGTTTCCTTGTGCTTGGTGTCCAGTGGATGTACATTAAGTGTTGATCAAGTATTGCCAAATGACCAGAGAATTGAGTGGAAACAAATCAGGTTACTGAGGAAATTCAGAACGAGAGCAACTGGATTATTCAGATCACTTGTCAAGAGTAGTGAAAATCACTACAAATGATGCATTTTCCCACATATAAGGAGAAAACTGTTGAAATCCACCCGAAACCCAATTGTCAAGCACTTTGGTATTTGGTAACCCATCTTACAGGTTGTATAAATAAAAGCCATCCATCAGAATTCAATTTTATTTTGCCTAAATTAAATCACACTAGAGAGAAAGGGAATGAAAAATAGTGTTGATATTATGAACAAAAATGCACAGCTCACTATAAGAAAATTTTGCCAATGACTACGCATGCCTCAGTTAAAAAAAAAAAAATGACCTAAACATGGAAATGTAAAACACAACTTGCATGGTTCTCCGTGACTCCGTGGGTTATCTGTGATGGGATCTAGCCCCTGTCTATAGAAGTGAGCACACACACACGGTCTTCATATCTCTAGTTAGTTATTTTTCTACTTGTAATGTAGAAAATGTATAAAGGAAATGGGGAGAGTGGCTGCTAGGTAATTCCCTAGAGGCAGATTATTTTACATTCCTCAGTTCTGGTAACTGCTATGGGTTGAATTATGTCCCCCCAAAAAAAGATATGCTGCAGCCCTAACCCTCAGTACCTTAGGCTTTATTTGGGAAAAGGTTGTTGCAGATTAAATTAGGTAAGGTGAGGTAATACTTGGGTAATTACTGAACCCGTAATTCAGTATGACTGGTGTCCTTATAAAATAAACATCCAGTGAAGAGACAGACACACAGGGAGAGACCATGTGAAGGCACAGGATTGGAATGATGCATCTACAAGCCCAGGCACACCCAAGGTTGCTGGCAAACCACTGGAAGCTAGGAGGAGACAAGAAAGGATTCTTCTCAGACTTTCAGAGGGAGCATGGCCCTGCCTGGATTTTGAACTTCTGGCATCCAGAACTGTGAGGTAATAAATTGCTGTCTTTTAAATCACCCAGGACACAAGTTTCCGTTGTCTCAAATCACATTGTTTGTGGTACTTCGTTACAACAGCCCTAGAAAACTAAGAGAGTGACTTTACCATTTTTTATCACCCTGGTATACCAATTAGATAAAGAACCTGAAACAAGTATCAAGCTTTCAACATGTAGAAACAAACAAAAACTGATTCTGCTTTTCAATGGGGAAATGACCTTGATTATTCAAAAGAGGAAAACCAAACAAAATAACACATATTTTTGGTGAATGATGGTATGTTCACCTAAGCAGTATGTAAATTTCATTCAAGGTTTTTAGCATAGAATTAATTTGCTTAAATAATTCAGTCCTAATCTAACAGTAGAAATGTTCAATAGCATTATCTCTTTAGAGTGTTTATTCTATATACACACTGGGGTTTTTTTCTAGTAAAGCAAGTCATATTTGGGGAATGTGAATAAGCAATATGGAAACGTCTATGTTTTTTAATAAGTTTAAACTCATTAAAATTACCTATAAAGAAAGATGAAAAATCTTTTTCATGGCCAAAAACCAAAAGGCTAGGTGTTATAGGAAATTCTACACAGTATTTCCTTTGTTGGTGGAAAAATAATGAATTAATTATGAAGTATACTTCGCCAACCTAGCAAATAATAAACACCATTTAAAATTAAGGGGCTATCTCCATAGCCTTCAGCAACATTAACTATTTAAATGCAAAGATAATTTTTAAATGATAGTTTTTTCTAAAATAATACAGTTTATTTTAATAAATGTTGATGAGTACCTATGAAGTATGTCTTAAATCTACTGATTTTTCTCTATCTACATGCTATTCCTTTGCTCATGCCATCATTATCTCTCCCCTGGAATATTGTACTAGCTTCCTAACTGGTTCTTTTATTTCCAGTCTCAATCTCCTTCAATTAGTACAGCTGTTAATATATTAATCCAGTCATGTCATCCTCATGCTCAGATTTTCAACAGCTACCTTTTCCCATAGGCCAAAAGCCCAAATCTTGAACTAGGTGCTCAAGTCTCTCCATAATCTGTTACTTACCTACCTCTGCATGCTCCTCCCTCTCTCCCTCTTCTATCAACCTTGCTCCCTAAATTTGACTCTGAACATTTTTCATATCTTTAAATGCAACGCCTTGAGTGATAGAAACCAGAAAAGTAGTTATCTCCTGGGGTGGAATTGCCTATAATAGGAGCATGAGAAAAATTGGAGAAAAGATAAAAATGTTCTCTATCTTGATTTGGGTGGAGGTTATATAAGTATATACATGTGCTAACATTTCAAGCAGTACCCTGAAGACTGGCACATCTTATTATATGTAAATTATTCCTCACTAAAGTACTGTGGGCATTTTTAAAAGCATAATACAGGAACGCACACAAAGTATGTGTATCAGTGCTCTTTCTTCTGTTTGGAATGCTCCACCTATCCCAAAGCTTTGCCGAAGTAACTCCTACTCATTCTTCAGGTTTCAAATTTTATTTACCCAAATACTTGACCTGATCCCAAGTCTAAGGTGTGCCACTCTGTTTTATGCTGTTGTGTTGACTTAGAATCGTATATGTATTTGTATATTTTTCTTAATAAACTGTGAGTCCCAGAGGCAGAAAAGGTTTTATATTAACCAATGTACTCCAGTGAGTAATTAGCTAATTAATCATATAAGGTACTGGAGCAACAGAGTGCACTGAGGATTCAAAACATAGTGGTCATATTCCCAAGCACACAAGTCCTCTCTTATCTTCTAGGGATACATTCCAGGACTCCCAGTGGATGCCTGAAACCACAGATTATAATGAACCTTATATATAGTATGTTCTTTCCTATACATGCCTACCTATGATAAAGTTGATTTTATAAATTAGGCACAGTAAGAAATTAACGCTAATACTAATAATTATTATGAGTAAAGTATTATTAAGTAAAATCAGGATTACTTGAACACAGCAAAGCAACACTGAGACAGTGAATCTGATAACCAAGATGGCTCCTAAGTGACTAGTAGATAGGTATCAAATGTACCATGGATAAGCTGGACAAAGGAATGACTCACATCCTGGGCAGGATGGAGCTGAATAGCGTGAGATTTGTTTACACTACTCATAAGGGCACACAATTTAAAATGTATGAATTGTTTATTTATGGAATTTTCCACTTAATATTTTCTGAACACAGTTGACTGCAGTTAACTGAAACTATGGAAAATGAAACTGCAGATAAAGGGAACTCCTGTATATTACAGTCCCTTAGAGGAGACAGACACATTAGCATGACAGAAAGATGGACAGAAAGATCACGTGGAGAGCTATGGAGTAGCATAGAATGCCAGCTTTGCCCAGACCAGCTGGTTAGGAATGGCCTCCTGGAGAAGAGGCATTAGCTCAGTCTTGAAGTATCAGTAGGAGTTACCTAGATAGAGGAGTGAAAATTTTATAACACAGAGGGGACAAATGTGAATAAGGAAATATGCTCAGCCTGCCTGGGAACCAGGTAGTTCCCAACCATTTGTAATTAAAATGCAAAGGAGGAAATAGCAGGCAATGAGGACATGTGTTAGGCACAGGTGAGATCACAGGGAACCTTTACATATAAAATGGCCGAAGATACCATCTACCTGAATGTCAAATCAAATCCTCAGCTGTGAGAGAGTTCACTACAAATTCACTTTCTGCTTGGTGAAATGGAACAAGTATCATTGCACTCCTTGATATACTATAAATATACCAAAGTGAATACCTATTCATGAATATGTCACGAAAAGAGAAGTATCATTCTTCTTAACATAAACCAACTAAAGACCAGTTTCCTCAGCTCTGTTTAAGGGTATTAATTAATGCTTAGAGTATCTGAACAAATGGCAAATGATTACAGTGACCAGATGTAGTGCTTTTTTCTGTTTTCTGCTTTATAACCAATTTGTAACTCCTGCAATGAGACTGGATTTGCTACAAGCTTATCCCACTTTAAGATATGATGACACACTAAAGGCTTTTTGCAGTGTAAGAAAAGAGATCTGACCAAGTCTTTCCTAACCCAGCTTTCTAAGGACTTTTCACTATTGTTCAGAGAAACACATTCTTTTCCTGGTTGTAGGTACTAGAGACATCCATTCAGCGCAACGCTACCATTTGTGAGGCTTTGAGGAGGAAAAAAGAAGGATACCTCAAGTTGCCAAAGGGCAATTTCTGCCAAAAGGAGAGAGAGGTTTTCAGAGTTACTGAATAACAGTTGCTCTCTTGCTCTCAACAGCTACATTTTTTAAGCCTTTTACTGTCCAATCCCTGGCCTGAATTATGATGGTCAAGACTACTAAACAACCTGATGAGTAGATATCTTTAGGGGTTTGATTTTTAAGGTTTTATGTTTAAAGATACTAAGTATGTCAAATGGCAGGCCTGCAGACAGAGTTTATGTGCAGTTACATTGCCAAAATGCAATGTTTTTTCCCCTGATATTAATCAAGCTAAGCTTTTCATAGAAATTAGCAATAATTGAATACTCAATTGAACAGGGTAAAAATAGTGTTCTGTACTCTGTCGTCCATCTATTGGGCAATGGTTTTATCTATCTCAGATTTTCTAAAATTTTGCAAATTTTAAACATCCTGTCACATTGTCAGCCATGTTTCTCTCCATGTATAAAATGTGTCCTGATTTGAGGTTCATAGAATATGGTTACCATATAAATGGAAGTCAAGAAGG